TGCTACGCGTTTGCGATAGCTAGTCCGCATTCATGAAGGTCTGGGGCCGGTGACCTTCGCGTTTACGGGAGGCGACTCGCGTTCGCGTAGAGTAGCTGGGCTGGGCTGGGGGCCGCTTTGTTCTTCGCATTCGCGAAGGGTAGGCCAAGCCAGCCTCAGTGTTCGCGAGACCTTGGTCGCATTCGTGATGAAAGGTCTTCAAAGGGCCTGAGTCAAATGCTTTCGCAAACGCGAGGCCCCTTTTGCGTTCGCGAAGAAGGGGAGCAGCTGGGCAGTAAGTTTAAAATCGGGACTTAGGCATTTTTGGGGGCATTTATTACACTCTTGGGCAATTTGGGAGCTCTTAAGGAGAGGATTTCGACCTAGCTCTGTGAGGTAAGTAATTTCTACCTAATGTGAGTTTAATACATAGTTTATGGGTAGATTATAACATGTAAATAAGTGAAAATCATGGGTTTAGAGGAAAACCTAGGTTTTTGATAAAAATGGAGCTTTACCACGAAAATGGTTATGGAACTTAATGAAAATCATATATTTATGTTTCTAAGGTTATGGGTAACAACTTTTTTCGAAAATTTTCGGAATCCGGGCACGTGGGCCCGGGGGTAAATTTTAGGAATCTTGCAGTTAGAGTTGGGAAATTACCTAAATAGTAGGGATACAAACTTTTAAGCCTATATTGATTAGTTTCTACACTATTTGGATAGTTTTGGATTGCTCCGCACCAAATTGAGGGTTTGGGCATAAGCTTGGACCGGAAAGTAGGCCTTAAAACGAGGTAAGTCTCTTTTCTAACCTTGTAAGAGGGAAATTTCCCCATAGGTGAACTTAATTAATATATGGTTATTTGTGGGGGCTACGTACGCACGAAGTGACGAGAGTCCGTACGTAGCTACTATTCTTGTTATGTCCGGGTAGTTCTAGGCTTGCACCATGCTTTGGTGGGTACCGTTATCCGAACATAATTATTTAATTGCATTGAATGGAACTAAGTTTAGGATTTCATGATTTCAAAGGTTTCAAGTAAATTAATATTTTGAAAAGAATTAAGAAAACTTACATTATATTTATATTTAACCGCGTCGCATGTATATTCCGCGAGCGGGGTGACTATTTTCATTACTCTCATGGGAGCGGGCCGTTCGCCTCGGCAGTTTAATAGATGCATCTATGGTTCGCGCCGTTCGACCCTCGGCAGTACACAGTTTACATTTTTATGTTGGATCGAGCCGAACGTCCTCGGTGGAATTTGTGTGTGATAATAGAAGTGGAAGCCCCCTTTTATAATTGGTATAAATTTACTGTTTTAGAGATCATTTGTTTAAAATAAAGGAAGTATTTTGGTTTCTTAGATATGATGGAAGAACGGTACATTTATTTCTTGTTTTGAGTTTATTGTTAGTTCTGTGTATCATACTTATTTAGAATCACATGTTATTATATTGTTGGCCCTAGTGAGTGTCGAAGTCGACCTCTCGTCACTACTTTTTTGAGGTTAGGCTAGATACTTACTGGGTACATATTTTTATGCACTCACGCTTCTGTACTTGATTGAACAGGATTTGAGGCAGGTGCATCTGGCCACCAGTCCGACGCGTAGACTAATTTTTCAGCTCGAGACTTCCTGGTGAGCTGTCCTTTTGAGCAGTTCTGCAGCAGCTGGAGTCTCTCTTATGTTCTTTTATTTTCTGTCTATTTCCTTTCAGACAGTAGGCTAGCATTGTTTTGTATATTCTACTAGATTGCCCACATACTTGTGACACCAGGTCTTGGCACACACACTAGTAGACTTATAGTTTTGGTTTGCTCATATGATTAAGATTAGTACTAATTGCTTCCATTTATGTTAAAATTGAAAAATACTAAATCTTTTTTTTTAAATAAGGAAAAAGCTATCGTTTACAAACTTATCTAAGCGGAAAATCACTAGTTGATTAGTGTTGGCTTGCCTAAAAATGGTGTTGGGCGCAATCACGGCCTATAATGGAATTGGGTCATGACATGCAACTAGTCACATTTTGTTAGTCTAGTCCTCCAAATTCAAAGCAAGTAATAATAAAATGAAGCATTTAACAATGACAATTATAATACCACACGTTTAAACTCATTACAAAACAAAGTCAATAAATTCAAAACAAATCTATCTCAAATAAAATTAAATAAGTTCCAAACTTAAATAATCTCAAACTAAACGGTCAAGTGTTCCACTTCCCAGTTTGCTTCATTGTTTAGATCAAGCAAGCTACTCTGTGGTGGTACTGTTGCATCATTTAGCTGTAATTAGAGTAAAGAAGACTAATAAGTATAAGCAATGTATTTACGTAAAAAAAAATAATTAATCAAATTTGTTATACTTTACCTCAATTCCTTTCGCTAGTCGAGGAGTTCCACCGCTTCTACCACCATCTCTACCACGACCTCTACCACGGCCTCTACCACGACCTCTACCACGGTCTCTACTACGACCTCTACCACGGCCTCTACCACCACTTCTACCACCACCTCTACCCATCCTATTACCTCTAACTCCACTTCCACCACCCATTTGTGAACTTCTAAAGTATGAATCTATTCGCCCTCTATATCTATTCAACCTTGGACGTCCACAAGAAGCTACGTATCTAGGATCTCTTATATTTCTTCCTTCACTCTCACCCTCACCCTCACCCTTATCCCCACCCCCACCCCCACCCTCACCCACACCATCATGTATATCTTCCAATTCCCAATTTGGAACTATCATATCATCATCCTAATTCAAAAGGTCATGCTCCAATCTGTTCAAATCATACTAATATATTGCCTCATCACTTCAGTGTCTAATGCAATATCACAAATCTATTCAAAATGCTTTAATAGTTCTCTATACATCATATATTCAGAAGTCATACGTGGGTAACCTCCTAGAAAGAAACGTTTCAAGTATGGACGAACAACATCTCTTTTCCACCTTTTCAATATATACCTCTCAATAACGTTTTCAATCCTCTTATGAGACAACACCTTAAGTATATGACAACATAGAATACCTCTTGTTTCAAACCAATTGCAACTGCAACTTAGATATTCGCCAATTGGTGTATATTCAACCGTGAAGACAAATGGATCTCTAGTGTTAAAACTCCTGAGCGAATAATCTGTTACAATGTATTTCTGTCACGACCCAAAATCCTAACATGTCGTGATGGCGCCTATCGATGGTACTAGGAAAGCCGATTCTCAAAAATACTTTCAATGTTTCACAAAAGATAAGTCAAAAGCTTTTACATGACAGAGTTTTCATAAAAACAAGAGTTAAACTCAAAATACAGTGCGGAAAAATAGCCCCAAACAACGGGTGTCACCAAATCATGAGCATCTAAACAACCAGTCTAAGAAATAGTGTCTACAAGAGTCTGTGTCAAAATATCAATACAGAAAAGAAAAGATAACAAGGAAGGAGAGACAAGGACTTCGAACGCCGGCAGCTACATCGTGAATCTTCGATACTCAACCACGCACGAGATCAACGTCCTCCGTGACCGGTAACACCTGGATCTGCACACGAAGTGCAGGGTGTAGCGTGAGTACAACCAACTCAGTAAGTAACAATAGTAATTAAGGAATTGAAAAGTAGTGACGAGCTATACAAATACAGTTCATTTCAGTAATTTCAGCAATGAAAGTAGACATGTTTTAAATTCCGGCAATTTAAGTCAAGTCAGTAACATATTACCAAGTTCAGGTAAAACCGAATACAATATTTTCCAGAAGTTTCAGAACAATGATATAAATCATCTAAGTGCAGCAACAAATAAAAGAAGTACAACCTCTTATGGCAACAGTCCCTCAAGCTCTCTCAATAGCTCAACACTCGGCTCTCAGCCCTCAATACTCACACACAATAGGTACCTGCGCTCACTGGGGGTGTACAGACTTCGGAGGGGCTCCTACAACCCAAGCGCTATAATCTGCACGGACAACTCACGTGCTGTACGGACAACTCACGTGCTATAGTATCATATCAAGATCCGCACGGGCAACTCACGTACTACAGTATCATAACAGAATTCGCACGGGCAACTCACGTGCTATAGTATAAATATCATGATCCGCACGGACAACTCACGTGCTATAGTATAAATATCATGATCCGCACGGACAACTCACGTGCTATGGTATCAATACCTCACAAATGGGCCCTTGTCCTCACTCATTCATCAAGCTCTCTAGTCTCACGACCCTCAGTAGTAAAGGGGAATTAGCCCAAAACTGAATAATATAAAGTATCAACAGGGAATAACAGAGACTGAGGTATAATATGCAAGTAATACTACGACTGAGTACAAGTAACAATAAGCAGGAAGGTTCAACAGGTATCACGACCATTGGGATCTTTACAACACCAACACATAGCCTAAGCATGATTTCTAGCATGATTAACTATCAAATTTCTATACCACAGAAAGGGCACATAGATAACAACAAGCTTATTCAACTTTCCAATTTCACGGAATGGACCAAGTCCTAATTCCCACGGTGCACGCCCACACGCCCGTCACCTAGTATGTGTGTCACCTCCAAAATACTCATATAATACAATAATCCGGGGTTTCATACCCTCAGGACCAGATTTAAAACTGTTACTTACCTCAAACCGCGCAAAACTCTACTCCAAAGTGACTTTTCCTCTCGAATCGATCTCCAAACGCCCCAAATCTAGCCACAAGCAGTATAATACAATTAATATAGGCTAAAGGAATCAATTCCATAAGAAAAACATGAAATTATAAGCCAAAATCCGAAATTGGCTCAAACCGGCCCCGGGCCCACATCTTGAAATCCGAAAAAAGTCACAAAACCTGAAAGCCCATTCATTCACGAGTCTAACCATACCAAATTTACCAAAATCCGACGCCATTTGGTCATCCAAATCGCCAAAATTCACTCTCCAATTCTCTAGCCCTAAACCCCCAAATTTCACCTCAAAAACTCACCAACTAGGTGTAAAATAAGTGGGGAAACATCATTATTGAAGATAAATGGATACAAGGAGTTTACCTCTGTAATCACTTCAAAATCACTCTCAAAAACCTCCAAAATCCGAGCTCAAAGTGGTGAAAATGGTGAAAAATCTCGAAGTCCCGTATTTATATGTTCTGCCCAGGCCTTTCGCACCTGCGGCCTCTTATCCGCACATGCGGAACCGCTTCTGCGGCTAGAACCCCGCATCTGCGGAAACCACTTAACTATCTGACTCCGCTTCTGCGAGCGCTGGACCGCATCTGCGAACATCACAGGTGTGGAAAATGCCATTGCACCTGCGGAAACAACCGCATCTGCGCCTCTTCTGCTCGCATCTGCGACCACGCAGGTGCGGGAGAATCTTTGCACCTGCGGTCCCTGCTCACCTCTCCCTTGGCCGCTTCTGCGACACTTGCCCCGCTTCTGGGGACTCGCACCTGCGGTTCCACTCCACAGGTGCGGTTACACTAGTAGCAGCAACACTTCAACTGCTTAACCAACTCAAAAATCAAGTGCGTGAATCTCCCGAAATCAACCCGAGGCCCCCGGGACCTCAACCAAACATACCAACAAGTACTAAATCCCGATACGAACTTAGTCGAGTCCTTCAATTACCTCAAACGACATCAAAAACACGAATTACACACGGATTTAAGTCTAATGAACTTCGAAACTTCCAAATTCTACAAACGACGCCAAAACCTGTCAAATCACGTTCGATTGACCTTAAATTTTGCACACAAGTCATAAATGATACCAGGAACCTACTCTAACCTACGGAAATCTAATCTGACCCCGATATCAAAAAGTCCGCTCCCGGTCAAACTTGCCAAAATTCTAATTTTTTCCATTTCAAGCCTAATTCTATTACAGACCTCCAAATCACATTCCGAACGCGCTCCTAAGTCCTAAATTACCTAATTGAGCTAACGGAACCATCAAAATTCAAATCCGAGGTCGTTTTTCACATAAGTCGACATTCGGTCGACTTTTTTAACTTAAACTTTCAATTAAGAGACTAAGTGTCTCAATTCACTCTGAAATCACTCCGGACCCGAACCAACTAACCAGGTAAGTCATATAGCAGCTATAGAACACAAAAGAGGCAGAAAATGGGGAAATGGGGCTACAACTCTCGAAACAACTGGCCGGGTCGTTACATCCTCCCCCTCTTAAACAAACGTTCATCCTCGAACGAGTATAGAGGCATACCTGAAGTGGTGAAAAGATGAGGATAACTGCTGCGTATATCTTGCTCGGTCTCCCAAGTCGCCTCCTCGACCGACTGATCCCTCCACTAAACCTTCACAGAAGCAATATTCTTCGACCTCAACTTTCAAACATGTCTATCCAAGATCGCCACCGGCTCCTCAACATAAGATAAATCCTTGTCCAACTGGACTGAGCTGAAATCCAACACGTGAGACGGATCATCGTGATACTTCCGGAGCATAGAAACATGGAATACTGGATGAACTCCTGTTAGACTGGGAGGCAAGGCAAGCTAATAAGCAACCTCCCTAACAAGTCGCAACACCTCAAATAGGCCGATAAACCTCGGGCTCAACTTGCCCATCTTTCCGAACCTCATAACACCCTTCATGGGTGACACCCGGAGCAGGGCCCGCTCTCCAATCATGAATACAACATCGCGAACCTTTCGATTTGCATAACTCTTCTGTCTGGACTGAGTTGTGCATAGCTATCCCGAATCACCTTAACCTTCTCAGAGCATCCTGAACCAAGTTTGTACCCAATAATCTAGCCTCGCCCGGCTCGAACCAACCCAC